TTGGAAGGTGTGGAGCTATTCCCAGAAGAACGACTTCTTGACTTGGAGTATGCAGACGACATTGCCCTCATCTGTGACAGCTCCCAGACGTGCCAAGCCGCGCTGGACAGATTAGCACTGGCTGTCAGCCGCTTCGGGCTTTGCTTTGCACCATCGAAGTGCAAAGCGTTCCTCCAAGATTGGCAGGGATCGCCCCCTGCGCTGACCCTTGGTGGGGATCACCTAGAAGTCGTTCAAAAATTCAATTACCTGGGAAGTTGTATCAGCGCTCTTGGGATCGAAGATGAGATCACGAACCGTATAGCGAAAGCTCGAAGTGCTTTTGCTAACCTTCGCCACCTATTGCGCAGGCGTGACGTCACTCTCGCCCTGAAGGGTCGAGTGTACAGTGCAGCGGTACGTTCGACCTTACTGTACGGTTGCGGAACCTGGCCCCTTAGATCGGCGGACATGAAGAGGCTAGTTACGCTCGACCATCGGTGCCTTCGCAGTTTGGCTCACATCTGGTGGGAACATCGCGTGAGCAACGAGCGTGTTCGACACATTGTTTACGGTACAGGAAAATGAAATGACCCGCTCAACACCGTTATTTCCCGCACCAGGCTCCGATGGCTGGGCCGCCTGTTGCGCATGCCAACCCACCGACTCCCTCGACGTGTGTTGTTTGCTCACCGGGGACGTGGGTGGAAGAAGAAGAGAGGTGGCCAAGCGATGACTCGGTTGGAGTTTCACGGTACCGTGGTTGGGGTCCAAAGGACGATGAACACGTTTGGCTGGCTACGCTTGCTGACATGGCAAGGAGCCGACCTCAGTGGCGTTTGTGCTGTGAGTTTCTTTGTCCCTCCCCATCCCTTTTAGCCTCTCCCTCCATTTACGATCTCATTTCGTAGGGTAAAACACAATAAAAAAAATTTTTGCCTAGTAGCTGGTTGGTAGCTTACCGGAACGATGCCTATCCGTTGCTGGTAGCTCAGCTGGCATGCAACTGACGTATTTATTTTTCCTTTATGTATTGTATTTATGTATTTATTTCCTTTATGTATTGCGGTACAATAGCGGAGGTTTCCCCAACTCTCGCTGACATGTATAATGATGAGGATGGACTAGGATACTGGCAGAGCACCCACACCTGACAAAAAGACGACTCAGATCCTCAGCCAAAGCACTCGATGAAATGTACACCTGAAAGGCAGCGGGTCTAGCACATGGTCAGTTCACTGACTCATGCGAATTGGCGCCCGGGATCTTAGCAGGGAGAAGGGCGAAACCCAACTCCCACCCAGCGGTTGCCATGAGGAAGCGTCCAGGATATGGCACAACAGCAGCAGTAGTGGGTAGACCATCTGTCAGGAGCTAGCCACCAGCAGCCTCAGCCCAGTATAGGCTCTGCAGTATATATATATATATATATATATATATATATATATATATGCTAAGCTGATGGTTGTTTCACACTGGGTACTCAAGCTTCCCGAATGCCGCTGCTGCCTTCGACACGCGCATACGCAAATCCATGGTACTGTCCGTCCTTCTATACGGCAGTGAAACATGGACGATGTACCGTCGGGATGTGCGATATCTCAAGCGGTTCCATCAGCAGTGTCTGCGACGAATTTTGCGAATCGGTTGGGGTGCCAGAGTTGCAGACATGGAAGCGTTGCGCCGAAGTGGGATGTATGCAGTGGACTGCATACTTTTACTAAGACACCTGAGATGGCTCGGTCATGTGAGCCGTATGGATTCGACGCGGATACCGAAACAACTCTTATACGGTCAGCTGAGTATGGGGAAGCGGCACGTGGGGAAACCAAAGTTACGTTACCAGGACATGATTAAAGTGAGCCTCACACGTTCTAATCTTGATTGCAGATCATGGGAATCGAAGGCGGTTGATCGACGTGCATGGCGCGATCTAATCACGAAGGCAGTTGCTGAAGTGCGGGAGAAAGCCCTCATGCATGCAGAGAAGAAGCGGCAATTGCGGAAGCGGCAAGCACCGATGAATTGTACTCCATCGACATCAAGCGCATGGTGCAATAGAACTTGCGGTCGCGGGTGCCTTAGTCAGGCAGGCCTAGTGAGCCATGAGAGGGGTCACTCGGCACCACTGCTGAAGCGACGACGGGTCCTGCAGTGAACGTAGGCAGCACCGGCGCAGCGTTTGTAGGCACGCTGAATTCGATTTTCGATTTACTAACCGCGTGCTTGCATGCTAAGTCTCTTCATTTCAGGTGGTGGGTTTTCGGTTCTCTCCTAATGCCTTTCTTTCTCATATAAATGTCTAGTGGCCATGAGCTAGGCCACTAGGGACCACTACAGAAGCGACGACGGGTCCTGCAGAGAAGTACGCCGAGCCGGCGCAGCGTTGTAGGCACGCTGAATTCGATTTACTAACAGCGTGCTTGCATGCTAAGTCTCTTTATTTCAGGTGGTGGGTTTTCAATTTTGCCTTAATGCTTTTCTTTCTCGTATAAATATCTAAGTGTACCCTATTCCATTAACTTGCACACCTCGCTTAAGCCAATTGTATTCGATTTCCGTAGCATATTTGTGTTCGTGGCATTCCGTGAACTAACTTTCTGACCTCGTGCACTTATCTAGGATTTGTTTGTAAACAACTTATTACATATGCTCGTTAAATTAAGGTTTATGTCTCCGTTTCCTTATGCATTAATCGAGTTTTTCTCTTTTTTCTCTCTTCTCTTTTTTCCTTTCTCTCTCAAGTGATTGGCTGTTGTTTGATATCCCCGGTGTGGCTGCGCTTGATGTGCACGTTGACAAGATGCCTACCTGTCTATTACCCACTACCTCGTCCATACTGGCTCCAGGAGACAGTTGGTCGTTGCTGGAGGGGACGGGGTGCACGGTTCTTGTGGCCGTGCTAGGCTCAAAGAGCGGTTCCATGCACTCAGTGTGGAGCGGACTACGGTCCAGCCACCGCCTTGTGTGCGGTTGATTCCCCAAATACAGCGTGCTTGTGTTTGCCTGCGAAGGAGTGTGGGCCGGCTCCGTTGATGAAACGTGGTTCCCATCCGCATACCTCCCGGTCTTATTCCTTCGGGTTTACACTGGATATGGGGTGTGTGGATGGAGCTGTGGGTGGTGCAGCGCAAGCCATCCATGGTCCCTCTGTAGGCGCAGGCGTCCTGTGGCTTGCCACAGTGACAGGCAAATCCGAAACCGGATGCCGCCAACCATATATATATATATATATATATATATATATATATATATATATATATATATATATATATATATATCGAAGCAGTCAAATCAATAGACATGGGGCGATAAAAATTCGTGGCAGTCGCAGAAACTTACAGGTATGGTAGAAGTAAACTTAAAACAATACAGTATGATAGTTTTGCGAAAGCACGGTACTACTTGGTTATTCAAGTTGAAGTAGGGTGTTGACCTAGGGGAGGCTGAGCAGCCTATTTTCAAAGTAGTAGAGCGAAGCTACGGAACCGCGTCCACTAGGAGGCATGGGCCGATCTTTTAGCTCATGTGTCTTCGGTCCAGTCAGTTGCCAAACTGAAGAGCAATACACTTCATGATAACAACATGCACCTGCTAGAGTAGTATGCTGCTTTGCAGAGGTGGAGCAAGGAGCAGTGGCTTAAGTAAGTGACGGGTCATAGCTACCACAAAGCATAGTTGTTAAACGGACGTTTGTGACATTTGTATGGGAAATGCTAGCCGGGGAGGGAGAACACACCATCACATCCTGGCTAGCCCGGTGGTTGGAGTTAATCCAGTTCCAGCGAATGGTTCGGTGGTAGTTTTCTAGAACGTGGTGGGTTTTCGCCTGGCAAGCGTTCTCCCTATAAAATGTCACAAAACCCTGTTTAACAATACTACGACGTGGCGGATGTGAGTCGTCACTAAAAAGGGACTGCTTTTCCGGTGGATCTTACCCATTTCAACTAATTTGAAGTGTTTGTTTGGTCCCTTGATACGACGGCGAACCTAGCGAACACAATTACAAATACAGAGTCGTATTAACAAACTCACACAACATGGCTACTTGTTCATATATGGATGGTGGCATCCGGTTCCGGATTTGGGCGTCAGTGTGGCCCCCATAAGACAGCCACAAGACGCCTTCGCCTACAGAGGGACCATGGGTGGCTTGCGTTGTACCACTCACACACCCCATATCCAGTGTAAACCCGAAGGAATAAGACCGGGAGGCATGCGGATGGGAGCCACATTTCATCAACAGAGCCGGCCCACACTCCCTCAACAATAGGAGCAAAAGCATTCACGTCTAATAGAGAAATCATACGTCTCAGAAGTACAAAAGGCGGTGCCTGGACCGTAGTCCGCTTCACACTGAGCGCTCGGAACCACTCTTTGAGCTTAGCAAGGTCATAAGGACCATGCACCCCGTGTTCGTCCAGCAACGATTCACGGTTTCCTGAAGCCAGTACTTAAGGTGGAGGATGCTAGACAGGTAGGTAAGTTGTCAACATTCACATCAAGCGAAGCCACACCACCGGGGATATCAAACAAGCAACATGCAATTTGATGAAAATTAAGGAAGAAAAATGGGCACTAAAATGCCACAAAATACGAGAATTGAGCAAATCGATTAACGCGAAATACATTTCATGCAGAATAAAAGGATCTAGCTTAGGCGTAAGTAGGTGTAGCTCAACTGCGGTGAACAAGCGTGGTGTTTGCAACACAAACCGCAGCACGAGATAAACTTGCACATACACCTACATTGATACATGCACACATAAATTACGTATGTTACTAGATTAGTTGTAACAGTTTTATGTAATTGCCGATCAAGCGTTTTTGCACTACCATGATTAGGCCTTTGCAGGCGTGCCTCGTACTGTCGACAATAAACCATTTATTTACTAGATCTTGCGATGTAGCTCGAATGAGTAAGCAATTACCGGTGCATTTGAATTGGCGGTACAATCTTAAGATAGGATGGTCCCGCGAGAATAAACAAGATAGCCAAATCGACATGAATGCGACTCTTCTTATAAGTGCTGGTAGAGCAGCAGGATTTGGAAACAAGAAACTAACCTTGTCAGAGGTCAATTTAGACATAGTCATTGTTTTGTACAGAGCTTTGATACAAAGTTTTGTCGCCTCATCTGTTGTGCACTGCGGGTTGTACTCTTGTTCCAGGATAGAGAAAATGGCGGCGGAGTTAGAACCTATACAGGCAGCTTTCCAACCAAGACAGTTGCCAGATGGATCGGATTGGAAAAGCTGGTAACCATGACGTACATCCCAGCCGATGAACAGCATTGACACGCCAAAGGGTCGGCGACCACCGTACATGGTATAACCGTGCTGCAAGTCACAAATATGAGATACCAGCTGTTCAACTGGCATTGGCTCCTGATATGAGAGTAGATATCTAATCAAGTGAGAAAGATAGAAATGGAAGCGGGTACTCAAGGGGATAGAAGTCGACCGTGTCGAGATATCAACAGATACAAGACAAATTTAAGAAGAACGAAGCTCCCAGCAAGGAAAAAATGTACGTGCTCTGCATTGTGACTGGGGTCAGGTGATCGCGTGCTACCACATGGGGGACCGGTGTTGCCAAGCATGAGCAGCCACAGAGTCCGATGCGTGGCGTGAACGTTTGTGTGCTAAAAGCCAATCAAAGACATGGATTACACTGGTCAATAACGGTATCTGTACCAGATATATTTTAGTGAGTTCAAGGTAATTTAGTGTCAATGATTCCGAATCTGACCTCGATTTTGCTACACGGACTCCAACAAAAGACAATATGATAAAAATAATAGAGGATGTTTAGTCTAGGAATCATATAAACGTTACTTCTTGTACTAGAAATGCAGGCAAAGTAAATACCTAACGAGCTTGAATATAGGATAATGGAAAAAATAACCGACTAGGCTGATGTATACCATCGTAGTTAATTTCTCAAAAAAAACCTGTTTGCGCGATTTCCTGCTGTGGTTTATCTAGAAAGTCACATAGAGTGCTCCAGAAACAGTCCGCCATTAGTTGTTTATCTCCCATGGCTTCATACCTCATCTCCATCAGTTTAATGTCCTGATGCAACCTCTCCCCAAGTTCCTCGCTGAAGTCACCATGACTATAGGTGAGTCTGTCTGTGACTATGAAGAAAATGTAACTTTATGCTCATGTTACAACCCAAAGTGTCAGAGTTTGCAAGCACATTCACCATCAATTCCTCACAGTTCCTTGCTTTATGGTTATCCATGGAGTTCTGTGTAACGGAGACAAATGCATCCCAAGAATGTACTTCCACACCGTTCATACAAGTAAAATTTCCACCATTAATGAATCATGGAATTACAGAACCATCGAAGATGCTGGCTTTCCGTTTCGCCATACTCAGTTCAATGAATGATCTACAAATATACTTGAAACAAGTACCATGTTTGTCCACTGATTTGCCAAATTGTTTCATTAGCCCCGACTTTATTCGTAATCATGGGAGAATAATGTTTTCGTTGTCAACAAAAGGATTCTTGATGATGTTCGCCGTAGCTAAATTCATGTTAACCCTCGTAGACCAAGCAAGGATACTTTGCACATCCACTCAAAAACTGCCATCTTCAAATCCGCGTGAATAATCCGGTATCGATAGAAGCCGCCCACATTGACCACACAATAATAATAACCATGATGATAGCTTGTCGGTTCGCGCCACACTATAGGTACGCTATAACTCAAACCCATTATTGTACCAGTCGTGGAGACACTCGATACAGGTTGGTGAAAACCTTATGAGGAGCCCAAGAGTTTCCCTGATCTCCATGTTTGATATAAAAGCAAACGCAATATGCTTGACTCCCAACGGAGTGATACCTTTCCTATGTTATGACAATGCCTTCCCCACAAATGTAGACTACATGGAGGTTATTCAAAAGGCTACATAGAAAGGAGTAAAATCGAAAAATACAACACTGATTGCGCGAACATGCTTTAATGACATTTTGACTGAACGATCAACAGTAACTACGTGCTTTTGGCATTCACATTTAACAGTTACCGAGTGGAAAGAAAACATTATTATAAAAACGAGTATAGATAGTGAAATGTCTTGATGAATACGCTCCGCAAAATAAGCACTAGGCTCGTGCGTTTCGATATCGAATGGAAGGCCAATTATAAAGTGACTGTACCGGCATTCCTGGTTGTGGATCGTGAAGACAGGTAAAGCCAAGAATGTGAATAGAAACGTAGAAAATCAGACACACACACGGTCTGCACGGGTGACAGCACTGAACTACCGAGGCAGTGCCTTAACAGCAAAATAGGGAAAGGAGTAGCAAAGAGAAATGAAGTCGCTCAGTCATCATCATCATCATCATCATCATCATCATCACCATCATCATCATCATCATCATCATCATCATCATCAGCAGCAGCAGCAGCAGCAGCAGCATCATCATCATCATCATCATCATCAATGCAAGTTAGTTTATGGTGAGAAGCACCTCAGCTAATGTGCTGCGATACAAAAAGGTAAGATACAAAAGTTACACTACAAAGGAATTCAAAAGCAGATAATTAAATGTTAAATATTATATTATACAATTCGTAAGAGATCGGAATTGGAGGGGAATCTAAAACGGAGGCGATGGACCTAGAAACTGACAACACAAGCACCACTGGGGCCGGTTCTACGCCATATTAGCAAGCGTCTCCAAGCAAACTTGTTCATGGTCTTTAGGACCCCAGCCAGGCAGTCAGAATGCACTAACCGACGCCTACTTTGAAGCGAGGATATTCATTTCGCCCGACCAAGTCATCGCTTTGCTACCTCTCCTATTCCATCCACACCCCCGGCGCGCAAACAACGCACGTCGCGGGAGTCGGTGGGCTGGCATGCGTAACAAGCGGCCGAGCCATCGCAGCCTGGTGCGTGAAATAACGGTGCTGAGCGGTTAATTTCCTTTTCCTGTGCCGTAAACAAGGTGTCGAACACGCTGGCTGCTGACTCGGTGTACCCACCAGATGTGAGCTAAGTTGCGAAGGCACCGGTGGTCGAATGTAACTAGCCTCTTTATGTCCACTGATCTAAGGGGCCAGGTTTCACAACCGTACAGCAGGGGCGAACGTACCAATGCACTGCACACTCTACCCTTCAGTGCAAGAGTGATGTCGCACCGGCACTATAAGTGGCGAAGGTTAGCAAAAGCGCCTCGAGTTCGTGATCTCACCTTAAATCCCACGGGAACTGTTACAACTTCTCAGGTAGTTGAATTTTTGAACGAGTTCTAGCTAACTTGTTGTTGAATGAACACGTACCGAAGTGGATCCTGCATGTGATGAACGAACAGCCTTATCCTCCCCAGTCTCTGTCATTGCGTAAGCCGCCGGCATCCTCCATAGGTAAACATCTATTAATTACTGGTCACCGGATCCGGCTCGATAACGCACTCAAAATTTTGCTGAGGCACTCTAATACGTATTCCATTGTTTTGCTGAGGCTATCGCGATTAGTCGAATGCAGCCTATGCTGTGCGTACACAAATAGCTATTCGATCTTCTCAAGCTTCTGTGGACATAAAGAGCGAACCGTTTTCGTCCATCTTGATCCCCAAGTTGCTTTCTTTCTATTTGGGTCACATTCGACTTGCTATTGTTTCTCATCGGTTGTTGTATTGGTACAACAACACGAAATGACAGAAACTACCAAATGTCTTCTTGTTGTACGTTTCAAATTACTGAAGGGAATTAACTGCTTTCAGTTTCTCAAAAGACGAATTAACGCTATATTTATTGGTGACCCACTGTAGTCGTGTTCCTAGACATCAAAAGTGCTTTCAATTAGGTAGATCGATTTGCGCTTGGGAATGTCCGATATGGTTGATAAAGATGCATATGTCATAAAAGCACTATATGCGCGTAGTTCGGGCAGTGAGCGTATAAGGTAAGTTGTCGACGATATTCAATATCTCCAGTGGTGTGAAGTAGGTTGCTAGTTGTCAAGTTTATTCTATAAATTTGTGATCAACGAAGTCACGTGTCAGGGAAAGAAAAATCTCCCTGGGAAAACAACCTTAGTCAATGGTGTACAACCGAAGCATCAAGTGGTTTCAGGAACATTCGCGTCCACGTGCACATCAACCTTCCTATTGGCTAGCGAAAATGATCTACCAATGAGGACAGTTGACCTAGCTGTTCTGATACGCGAAGCTTCCTTGGTTGACTTATACAAATACCGGTTGATTTCACACTACTTGTATCCGTTCGGTAGTTGGTTCTGCAGCACGTTTTTGCCTCCAAGCGTTGACTGCTGATTTTCCGGCTGGGATTCGGAGCTGGCAGAGAACGTGTTCAATGCAACGGGAATCGCAGAGGTAGATCATAACATCATGGAAACTGCGTTCAGTGAGCACGATCTACAAGGTGTGGAGTAACTTCCTGACTTGGAGTATGGCGGCATTACTCTAATCTGTAACAGCTAAACGTGTCAAGCAGAATTTGACAATTAGCATTGACTGTCAATAGCTCTGGGCCATGCTATTCACCGTCGAAATGCGAAGTCCTTCTCCAAAATAGACAGAAACCCACTCATGTGCTGACCTTCGTTGGTGATCAGCTAGAAGTCGTTCGGGAATTTAAATACTAAGGCAGCTATATTGGCACCAGTGGAATAAAAGATGAGATCACAAACCGTAAAGAAAAAGTTCGAAGCGCGCCCCTGTGCCTTTGGCGCGATATTACTCTCGTCATGAAAGGCATAGTTTACAATACAGCCGTGTGTTCACATATTCTGCAAGGTTGCGAGACCTGGCCTATCAGATCGACAGACCTAAAGAGGCTAGATACGTTCGATCATCGCTACCTCCGCAATTTGGCTCATGTCTAATGGGGACTCCACGTGGGTAATGAGCGTGTTGGGCGACGTGTATTTGATGCGGGAAAGGCGAGTGAACCGCTCAGAATCAGGTTTCGATGGCTGGGCCAGGTGTTGCGCATGCCAATACACCGACTCCCGCGACGTGAGCTGTTTGTGCGACCGGGATTCGGATGGGAGAAGAGAAATGGAGGCCAATCGACAACTTAATCCAGAGGAATGAAAACTTTCACTTCGAATTTTGCGTCGGTTGATGTCTCCCGACTACCGGGCAGAGGCCACAAGGACGACGAACACATTTGTTGACATGGCAAAGAGCCAACCTCAATGACCTTTGTGTTGTGAGTCTAGTCTGATTTATTGCTGATCGAAGGTAGTTATTTATAAGCTTGGGGCTTAAGAAAGAGCGCCCACAGCTAGCAAAGGTAAGAGCTCGGGTACAAAAGGTGCACAGCAAGATCACAATATTCGGTGCAGATTACCCAAGGTGATATTTCTTCGAGAAGATCAAAACTTCAAACAGCCCATTGATTCTGTCGTTTCTTGAG